ATAGATCAAGATGAACGGTATCTATAAAAGTTTCCTCTCGCATATACTCCCTCTGTTCCAAAATAGATGACTCAATTTTATACTAACTTTAGTACAAAGTTGAGTCATCTATTTTGGAACGGAGGGAGTAATTATTAGAAATCCAGTACAGATGGAAAGAAAATAAAGAAAAATCATAGGTCAGGCTACACATAATCGGTGAACATAGTTCTGGTAATCTGGACTCAGTAAATCTTACCGCAATGGTGATTACACCTTCTTTCCCAACCTTCTCCATAGCCTTAGCAATCAGCTCACCAATTTCCCTTTCACCATTTGCTGATATTGTACCCACCTTTGTAAGAGAAGAGCAACAAAATTAGTAATAAATAAGAAACCAAGAAGAAATTAAGAACTTTGTAATTAATCAGTTTGGGTGTTACCTGTGCTATTTCCTCTGAAGTGCTGATCATTCTAGCCATGCCCTTTAGGTTTGTCACAACATCATCAACCGCCATCGAGATTCCACGCCTTAGATCCATTGCGTTCATTCCAGCAGCTACAGACTTGCAACCCTCAGTAAAGATTGCTTTTGTCAAAACAGTGGCACATGTGGTACCTGAAAATTTGGAACATAACAAGCAGACATGGTTAGAACAACTATGGTTTAACAATTAAAACAGAAGAGAAATGATGTAGGCGATAGGAAGAACCTATAAAGAGCACAATTTAACACAATATTTACAATTGTAAAGAATGCGATAGAACAAAAGCACTGACATATCAAATTTGTTTAGTGTTACTGATCAAACTGCAATTACACTTAAAGAGTAAAGACATTTATTAATGCTCCTGAAATGAAGTAAAGGTACAGCAAAAATAAGATGATGATATGTCCAACAGACAAGCATGGACGGAATATTTCACAAAACAGATTCAATATTAGTTGCGCATAAGAATCCAGCAGGACATAAATATGACATACCATCTCCAGCAGTATCATTTGTTGCATTAGCAACCTGCTTTACAAGGCTTGCACCAACGTTCTTGACTCTATCTTTAAATTCAATGCTCTTGGCAACAGTCACACCATCCTTTGTGACTTTTGGGGCACCAAAGCTCTGCTCAATGATCACAGTGCGCCCCTGTAGAATTCAACATGTAAAGAATCTGAGCTATGACAGTTTTTATCAGATGAGCTATGAGAGTTGTTGACCCTTAAATGTGTATATAAGCTTATTCGCAAAAAAAGGGATATAGAAGCTTAGGACATAGTTATACCTTAGGACCCATGGTCACTTTCACCGCATCTGCCAACTCCTCAACACCCCTCAACATCGAGGCACGGGCCTCGACACCAAACCTGATGTCTTTCGCGGCATAGTTCCTGCTCCAGGCAAGCCTGCTTCCAACCTACACAGTATGTCAAGAAACGCCCAATTGAGATATACTACATCCTGCTAAGCACACCTAGGCTCTAGGAGGCGATAGCAAAACGCCTAGCGCTGAACTAGGCTTATTGTCAGCATAACTGCGCTTATGCGCTTTGGTCAGAAAAGCTGAAGGCGGTAGCAAAACGCACAATTAACACCTAGTGCTTTTTTTTCAACTTTGCTCTTGCTATCATGCGACTATGAACAGACTTAAGTTCTCAATTGGAGCATAATTGTACTGTGAGCCAACCCACATTACACCAAGTAGAGGCCTTGCGGCTAAACCGACTACACAGGCTAAATCACCAGCAAACCGCGAGCATGAAAGTCCACAACACCAGGAGGAAGCAATAGATCTTTCACTGCCAAACAACAGATCATTAATCCATTACTTGTCATTGAACCCAATCCGCTGGATCCTAAGCAATTCAAGCTTGCCTAGATTCGACTGAACCCCGCACAGACCACCACATGGTCTCGCTCTCGCACGCGCTACCAAACCCACTAAATAACGCGACCGAATCTCCACTTGAACCCAGCGACGCTACTCGACCTAGAACTACCAAGCTAGAACACCAGGCGACCGCAAACAGAAATTCGAGCAGGGCGAATCCTCTCACCTGGCGAGCGCTGCTCCCGGCTTGCCTGCACGAACAACCACGTACACGGGTTAGCAGCCGCACAGCAGAAGATCACAAAGAGATTCAGATCGCCGCGCTGGGAGGCGCGGACGGGAACACTCACCGAGCCTTGGAGGCGAGGCTGGCGGCCGCACGGTACATCGCGAATGCAGCGAGATGGCGCGGGAGTCGAGGTGCGTAGAGGCTAGGGGGCGAGGCGCCGAGGTGAGATGATGTGCGAGCTTCGGTTGTTTCTTGGGGAGGAGGAAAGGGAATGGGGGAAGGGGGAGGCGGATTTTAGAGGGAGGAGAAGGGAGAGGAAGAGAGGAGACGAGGTGGATCCAGAACCATCCACTAGGGTTTAGGGTTTTACTGGTGGGCTTGCGCGGAGATCGCGGGACGAAAATGGGCTAGGATTGATTTGCCTCGCGCCGCTGCTCTACAGGCCCAGCAACATAGCTTGGGACAGGTTTAACCGGAAAACTTCTTTTTTAGAAACATCTGTATTTTATAAGGACACCTAAAAAAATCTGTATTTTATAAGGATGGCAATGGGTATGGTATGGTACGGGTATAATAATTTCATACCCATGTGTCTCATGAGATACACCTATATCCTACCCATCGGATAAATATTCATGCCTATGCTTATACACTACGGGTATTCATACCTGACGGTTATCCATCGGGCAAATCAACACACCATCGAAGGTTGGTTTACGTAATTTCCATTAACATGTGTGGTGGAGGTGCTAGCCAGCGAGAGGTTTCTATGGTTCGGGAATTTGTAACATATGTGAACCATCGGTAAGAAAATCGAGTAGGGTCCGGGCATACTCACCGGCACAGAATTGTACCCATGTCCTATCCACGATTAATCAGATAAGGTTCAGTCACTACACATAGGCACGAAAATGTGCCCATACCCTACCCGTACAGGTCGGTATCCACTGGTACCCATGCTCATTGGTAAAATTGACATCCTTAGTAATTTTATTCATGCTCATAATAATTATCAAAAAAAATTGTACTCACAAGTTTTTTTTATGTTAAAATGAAGAATCAAACAAATGCAAACACAATAAATGCATGTCCGACCTCTATATAATTAAGATGCAGACAACTAGCATCAAAGCAAACACAAAGAAAATTATGAAAGAAGAGCAAGGTCATACATACCATAACTATGGCTAGTCGAAGATAAAGGGAAGCATACTCATGAGTTTAATTACCGTTGGATAGCTCATTTTTAAAGTTGTATTAGCTTTTTAATGAAATTGTCATGTTTAATGCATTTTATAATAACGCATGGATCGCGCTGGGTGTGCATTGTGGCTGAATAGCTTTTTAAGTTTACATGTTATTATTGTAATTATGTGTAGAACCCCACGATCTAGTCTAGTCTATGGGATGGCATGGGGGAGACGAATTGTGGGTAGGTGGTCTGATAGGAAGAAAATGAAAGGAAAACCAAAAAAGATGCAGACTTTACATATCGCAAAAATAGTTGAGTCCAATGCGTTCGTGTGAGCCTCTCCCTTTTCAAGTTCATCATCCTTCCAGTATTTTTGAAATAGATTCCTCACGCACTTGTGTGTGATCCAGTAATTGTTCCAACAAAAGAACACAGCTGAATTTGTTTCAACATATAAGGCTGGTCACAATGGGCAAGAACATAGTCTAATAACTTACACACTTTTCTAGACTATGTTACTACCTCCACAGTGGGTAGGAACATCTATGTAGTGTCATGCAATAATGTATTTATTAGGTTATAGACTCATTGTTTCTTGGAGTGTGTGATGTTCCGATAACTTAGCTAGTTACCACAAGCACCTCTCTCTTCATTAAATATATGACACATAAGCAAAGTTGTATTGGAGTGTGTGATGTTACTCCTAAGTTCCTCCCCATTGTGACCAGCCTAAGAACTGAAGTTGTCATTGGGAGTGCCCAATGGAAGCTGGGCCTAGGCACATCCACATTAATTTTTAAAGAAATCTTTTAAAAATCAACTATTTAAGAAAATAATGACATGAACTAGCACTGTGTAAAGTTTCGCAAAGAAAAGACTTATATGGTCTTCTGTGCAGAAAAAAAAGAAAACAGATTTGGTTCTGTACAAAAGTTACTATTCAAATTTTATGTTCTTTTTCCAGAAGAACGCGAAAGTGATTTCTTCCCAACGATGTTTGCCATACATTTTTTTCATAATTGCTAGACTCTTTAAATATATATTGAAAAATTAAACTGTTTCAGCAGGTGCGTCTAGAACCATGTCAAAAATCTGCGGTTTTTTAGCACCTGAATCTAGTTGTCATGTACTCCCTCCATTCATAAATATAAGATGTATTAGATATTTTATAATGTCGACTAGATACAGTGGAATGAATGAACAAACAAACTAAAATATGTTTATATACATCGGATTCATCAAAAATTTATAAACAACTTATATTTGTAAACACAGAGAGTACCATATTAATCTCACAATAGGCCCAGAAGAAAAATCTGCCAAGGTCCATTAGATGGAAATGTCCGGAACCTTGCCTTGCCTGGAAGACCAACCACCTTGCCTACATCTCCCCATTCTCCCGGCTTTCCCCAACTGGCCCCATCTTCCTCAATCCCCACCTCACTCTGCAGCTCCGCACTAAAAACCCTACTTGCGATCAGCCCTCGCCGGAGCTCACCGCCCCCTCGGAAGCCTAGGATCGCGATGCCGCCCACCGCCTCCGCCTCCGCCTCCGCCATCGTCGCCGAGACGGCGAGCGGGTACCACCACCTCAAGATCCGTGGCTACTCAAGCCTCAAGGCCATCCCCAGCGGCCAGGGCCTCATTTCCGGCCCTTTCACCGTCGGAGGCCATCGCTGGAGAATCCTCTACTACCCCAACGGCAACCAGGCGGAGAGCGTGGGCCACGTGTCCGTCTACCTCTACCTCGACGAGAATGTGGACAAGGAAGTGATGGCGCGGTTCCAGTTTGGTTTCAAGGCGGAGAAGCGAGGGCTCTTCTTCCTCAAGAAGGCCAAGCCGGCGGCGGTGACTTCAGCAGGTGCACAGAGTTTCGCCAGCCAGGGCTCTTGGGGGTACCCAAAGTTCGTGCAATGGAATGCGTTGGAGAAATCGAAGCATCTCAAGGGTGATTCGTTCACCATCAGGTGCGACCTCGCCGTCCTCAAGAGGGTCCGCATCGAGGGGACTGCCCAAGAAGCAGCTCCAAAGTTCGTCGACGTTCCCCCGTCCGACCTGAAGCAGCACCTCAGCGGCCTCTTCCTCGCCGGAAGCGGCGCGGACGTCGTGTTCGAGGCTGGTGGCGAGACATTCCCGGTGCACCGCTGCGTGCTCGCGGCACGGTCGCCGGTGTTCAGCGCGGAGCTCTTTGGCTCGATGAAGGAGGGTAGCGCCAACGATCTGGTCCGCATAGATGGCATGGAGGCGCAGGTGTTCAAGGCTCTGCTCTGCTTCGTCTACACGGATTCGCTGCCGGAGATGGGAAAAGAAGAGGAAGACGCCATGTGCCAGCACCTGCTTGTCACGGCGGACACGTATAACATGGAGAGGATGAAGTTGGTTTGTGAAGACAAGTTGTGCAAGCACATCAATGTAGGCACGGTGGTGAACATCCTGGCACTGGCTGAACTGCACGGCTGCCCCGGGCTCAAGACTGCATGCATCCATTTTCTCAGCTCTCCGGCAAATCTGAGGGCAGCCATGGCCAGCGACGGCTTCGAGCATCTAAGCACAACCTGCCCCTCTGTTGCCAAGGAGTTGATCGCCATGTCTTCCGCACCTTAGTTCAGTTATATGCTAATTGTGCTAGCAATGTCAGGTAGTCTCCTCTCCTGGAGTAAATAGCATAAAACTACTACTTTACAGGCTAGGGTTTCAAAAAACTACCGGATTTTATTTTTTCTCAGATAACTACCAAATGAGTGGTCGGCCGTTTCATAAAACCCTAAAGACCATGTGATTTAGAATTGATCCGCTTTCTGACAAGTCAGGCCCACCCCTAAACGAACCGTTTGTTTGACCGATTATTTGACCGTTAACTGAGATCTAGGGCCCACATGTCAGCCATGGAGCAAATAATAAAAGAGATTTGTTGAAAAAGCCCCCCAGGCGAATGGGTGGAGGACGAGGACCAGATCAATGGGGGAACTGCTCCCTCCGTCGCCCGCCCACCCGCCGCCGGCGAGCACTGGGGCTCAACGCCGGCCATTCCTCCGGCCCACCTCCTTCTCACCCGACCTCTCTATGCCCACCGCCGGGCTAGCGGCCGCCTCGTGCTGGTGGCGCCTGCCGAAGATGCGAGGCAGTCACCCCTGGCGGGCGGCGGCTCCTCCAGGCGTGTCGCCCAATGATGGCGCGGCGGCGACGGCGGGCGAACCGCCGTGGCAGAAAGGGCGGCCCCAGGCGGCGACCCACGGCAGCGCGGCGGGGCGACACCAGGCGGAAGCGCCATGGCGGCGCGGCGCGGCGCGTCGACACCAGGCAAGCGCCATGGCGGCGTGGCGCGGCGACACCAGGCGGCGCACCATGGCGGCGCGGCGGAGACTCCATGGGGCGCCATGGCCGCGCGGCAGTGACCCCAGGCGGCGCGGCACTGACCCCAGGCGGAGCGCCATGGCAGCCCGGCGACAACGACTCCAAGGACCCGATTGCTTTTTAAATATTATTATAGGGACCATATTGCTTTTTAAAATATTTGGAGGGGTTATTCTGTAAAAAATTGATGAAAGAGACACTGACATGTGAGCCCCACATGCCAGTTAACAGTCAAACACACAGTCAAAGAGACGGGTCATTTAGGTGCGGGCCCGACTTGTCATAAACAGGTTTAATTTTTTAACAACGTGCATTTAGGGTTTTTTGAAACAGCCGACCACTCATTTGGTAGTTATCTGAGAAAAATTAAAAACCGGTAGTTTTTTGAAATCCTAGCCTGTAAAGTAGTAGTTTTATGCTATTTACTCCCTCTCCTGGTGACCTGGTTGCCAATGCTTATTGAGTATCACTTATTTCTCTTGGTATATCCATCTATCCTAACTTACTAAGGAGCTGCAAAGCACATTATGGAGTATTGTGAACAGGTTATTAGTCCTGCAAGTTATATGGTTATGTCCTCTTGCTTATGAACTTGTATTGGAAAGGAGCTTAATTTGATGAGTAATGTAATGCGATTGCGCTTTAACTGTTTCTTCACGAGATCATGCTTGCTTTCATGTTTTTCATGTCATATCCACATGTGTGCATGTTAATCCAAGAAATGATTTGTTGATACGTAGATTGATCTTAGTTCTTTGCATCCAATTAGGCCTTTTCTTGTTTCTGTATCCAATTTCAGTTATGCTCATTGTGCTAGCAATGTCAGGTAGTTCTCTTGTTGCAGCAATTGTGTCCTCTGATTCATGTTGTCCTACATAGTAGTACATCTATCGACAAAATCACTTACTTCTCTTGGTATATCAACTACATCTATCCGAACTTACTAAGGAGCTGCAAAGTACTCTCACTTTGTGTCTCTTTTGTTTTATCGCTACTTTTTGAGTAGTTTGGATCGCTTACCATATGTGTCACATGGTTGTTTTATCACTACTTAACTGCATATGTATGCAATCCTGCCGATTAATCGTAAATGATATTGTGAACAGGTTAGTGTGCTGATTAAATCTGTATTAGTCCTGCAAGTTCTATGGTTGTGTTCTCTTGCTTAAGATCTTGTATTGAAAAGGAGCTTTGATGAGTAATGCAATGCAATTGCTCTTTAACTGTTTCTTCACGGGATCATATTTGCTTTCATGTCATATATATCCACATGTGTACATGTTAATCCAAGAAATAATATGTTGATATGTAGATTGATCTTGGTTCTTTGCATCCAATTAGGCATTTGCTTGTTTCTGTACCTCATGGGTCGGAACCGACAATTTACACTACCACTGAGTAAATTAGTCGTTACGAGGATCTGGAGGAGAATGTGGGGCCATGGGAATTCAAAGTTAACAAGACTATGCTTGTAGTACGTTTGTCCTCGCGAGTGTTAAAAAGTGCTCAACTTTCGCAGGTCAACTTCTTTTTTTTATTCTCTCAAAAAAAACTTCTTTTTTTAAGAAAAATATATTAGTATCAAGACAATATCAATTACACCCGACCTCTGGAAAGGAGTGGGGGCAAGTTTAGCCAAATTAGTATAGATTTGAAAACCAGAGATACTCCTTTTATAATATTTGTTTGAGATGAACAACTTTCATCATTTTATGAATAGAGTTGCTATATTGAATAACGTACTGCACATCTGGCCGTCGTGACCCTATAATGGCCTAAACTTATACATAGTGACCGTATTGATTAATTTTTTATGTACGATGATCAAAGTGAGCTTGTGGCACAAGTTCAAATACCATAGTTGAATTTTACTTCTTGTATAATAAACACTTTTAACGAGAAGAAACAGCTATTCGGTGAGGCGTCAGGGCTGGACGGGGGATATATTGACTTATTGTATTGGCCTTGAAGAATAATTTCACAATCTTCTGGCTGCGATGACCCTCTATTTCTCCCCAAAACGCTGATGCATTAATTAAATTTTTGACATAGCCTAGTAACTTGGAGGGAGGGAGGGAGATGTCTACTGGAAGCAACGTCTCAATTCGATCGGGACAAAACTACTGCCGACAATTAATAAATGGAGTAAAAGATACAACAATGCGAGGTCACTTTCATTACCGAGATAGGAAATAACGGATAGGATAGGGCCATGTGGACGCTTGCATGCCTACACTTACAAGGAAGGTATGAAGCTTCGTGGAAATTTCTCGCAATCAACTCGGTGACCATTGGAGGTGGGCTTCGCTGTCGAGTGAGCCGAACCAACAGCAGTTGTCATCGCCCGGAGTATCTCCGGTTTAAGGCGATGTCACGATCACATGCTGAGAGTATGTTGGTTTCTTCCGCTGAGAGTACTGTTTTTTTTTTTTGAAAAAGAGGAAGACCCCGGTCTCGTATCTGGACGATTGGACGATGCATGAAACCACTTTACTAATTATTCACAAATGACCTTACAAAGAAATACAACGGTAAGTTTGAAGCCACTGTCAAGGCAACATCTGTTGCGGATATGGGGCACACACCGATCCGGCGCGCTCTTAGAGGCCGCCGCTGCCAACTGCCACCCTCCATCTCCAGAGCTGTACTGACGCATCATCCTTGCCCGATCTAGCTACTGTCGACGCCACCACGGCGCCCAACGTCACCACCTCCCTACGTTCGAACTGCTGAGCACATCGCGGTCGCCGCCGGTAAACCTCAACACCATGCCGCCAAGTACCACCAGCCGACACAGCTTGAAGTCTCTGGGAGATCTGACGTGGGTAGTATCTGCCGACCAGGCATGACAAAGCGTAGCACCTGTCGGCCAGGCATGACTTGACATCTCCACCGAAACTCCGTGCAAGACGAAGCCGCTCCACCTCCTACCACTTACTTCTAGCGCTGCTCCGCAAACGATGCTCTCAAGAGAGAAACGACACCGCAGGGCCGCCATCATCCGATGTGGAAACCCAGATCCTAGGGTTTCCCCAGGAGCAGCACGAGTGTGTTGACAATAGTTACAGGACGATGCCTTCATCAAGGTAACGGCGCAGAACGCCACCATCGTCCGCCATCGGCTCGGTTTTCACCGGTAACTATGTTTCCCCGACTCGCAGCCGGGACTAGATTACATATCTTGAGATCCGATCACCCAGCCTCAGGTCGACCACCTCCGACGTAGGAGATGACCACCACCGCCATAATCCTCGTGATGCGATGCAGACCCGGAGTGTTTCAGCGAGCCATCGCCGAATCCAATGAGATGCAGCAGTTTGAGGACATAACGAGAGTCGCCCGCCTAGACCCGAAGGTCCTATATCGAGCCCGGGACGCGCCCCGGCCGCCGCTACCGCCATCTCCTACTAATCCCGCCGGCTGCAGCCAAGCCCCCCGTCGTGCCCCGGCCGCCGCTGCCCGCCATCCTCATCGGGAGGGAGATCCAAATCAGCCGCAGCCGCGTCAGATCTCGGGACGTCGGAGGAGTTCCGCCACCGCTGCGCCACAGGGCTTTCGCCCAGCTACGTTGTCGGCGGCGGCGGAAGGAGGAGGGTGCGGGGAGTCGAGGGGAGGTCGGGAGGTGGCCGCCCGGTGCGGCCCGGCGGCGGCCGCACAGGGTTGAGAGGAAGGGAGGGGTTACCAGCTGAACCTTTAAATTTCTGCCCATGTTCAGTCGGGTACTACTACTACTATATAGATGGACGTGTTTTAAGTATTTGCTCTAATATTTTCCACGGTACTTGTTGGAGATTCTTATTTGTTATTTCCACGGTCATCTTTCATCTTTCTAAGGGATGCAACAAATGGAGTATTTTTTTGATAAAGGATGAATTTTATTGATCCAAAATAAAGCATCAAGAGGATGCAAACACATTGAGCACATAACCAACCTCTGCATAGGTAGGATGCACACAACCAATACCAAAACACGCACACATAAAAACACGTTGGCAAATAGCAAAGTCATATAAGACCAAAGCTATACCGAAAAAGACTTTTGCCCTGCTTTATATTATAAAGCCAACCGCCCAAATCAAGCATCCAACAAGGTCCAACACAGTACACACACACACGGAGGTCCACAAGAACATAAAGTTGTCAGAAGGGTCAAGGCTGAGGGCACAACACAACAAGCCCTAAACACAAAACACACACGCCACAGAGCCGCC